GATGTGGTCCGAGTGGATTCGCGGGTGGTGCAGGGATATTATGGCGGTTAGACTGTGTGGCTGGCCGCTACACGTCTACTTTGTAACGCGGCAGAGGAAGGGAAGGGGGTGGGCAGAGGGGAGAGAGGGGTATCAGGAGGGGAAATGCGAGGGAGGAGGAGAGAGAAAGGGAGAGAGGGATAGAGGAGGGATAAGAAGGGAGAGGAAAAGGGAGAGGAAGGGTCAATGAGGAAGAGAGAGAGAGGAGGAGAGGAGAGAGAGAGAGAGAGAGAGAGAGGAGAGAGAGAGAGAGAGAGAGAGAGGGAGAGAGAGAGAGAGAGAGAATGGACAAAAGATTGACAGGGAAAGAAAGTGAGAATGGGAGAGGGAGAATGAAAGGACGAGGTAGAAAGACAGGTAGGGGGAAGAATAGGGAGATATACATTGACAGAGAGCCGTCCGCACTAAGGTAGAGTACAGAACGGGAGGCAGCAGGAGCGGCAGGGCATATATCGGACATGGGCCGGCAGCCAGCGCGGCGGGCACACCAGCCGCCCCCGACGAGTGACGTCTGTCCGGCACAGCGACTGCACGGGACGGACGGAACGGCTGCCGCCCAAGCTGCCGCCGACCCAGTCGAATGAATAATGTGCTGTGTTGGTGCACGGAAATACGAGATAGATACTACTGGAATACGCACTAACGCAGTAGTGACCATACCATGGGCATCTCGGCGCGAGCCGTCTCGGAGAAATAGAAGTGAAAGAGTGCAAAAAGGACGATAAGGTTGCTGCAGCTTATGTGTTGTTATGAATTGTTCACCGAAAAAAAAAATAATAGACAACGAAACTTCACCTAAAAGACCGATTCCACCAGGATATCTTGTGCCGCACCCCATGTTCGTAAAACCATCCAGCGTTCGCAGCCCGCCTGTGATCAAAATCCGATCGGGGGCGTCTGCCGGGACATCTGCCCGCTATCAGACATTTCCCGGCCGGCCCGGGCGGGTTGGGTGGACCACACTGTACCCAGCCAGACCGCTCGATCGCTTCATAGACAGATAATGGGGCTCGAATGAAGCCCACCGGATCCAGACGTTCCGGCGCGGCGAATTAAAACTGAGCCCGCCAGAGAATTTATCGGAAATGAAAACAGAAATGCGAGAAAAGAAGCTAAGAATAGAGATATTCCATCACAAGATCGATGGCATTCACGGTGGGGATAAAACCAATGCGATGCTCCATTTATTAGCATGGTTAACCTTCATTCGGAGAATTCGGGCAAGCTTTCAGGCGAAAGAGCCTGCCAGAAGAAGAAAAATCGAAGCGCCTTGGCATTTTTAGATAAAGACGGTAAATGATTCATTAACAATCGAGTTGAAAAATGAACGAGCTAAAATAGAACGGGATTGAAGGCGATAATGAAGTGAAATGACAATCCTTACAAATAACTTTCCTAGGCACATCATACGCATTACGCATTCTAGAAATTGAGCGCTTCCGTTGTTTTAGCCAGGAAAGTCAAGAAAGACTCACGAAAAAGTGAAAGGCATCTAACCGATAGCACTATAACCCGTTTACAAGCGAATGCGTAGTATCGTTTGATTGATTTGATTGATTGATTGATTGATTGATCGTTTCGCGGCACAAAGGAGCGATAAAATAAAGGTGATTCAATTATCCTTTCAGCGCGGAACCATGGTACTGACCCTATACAGAACACCGATCGACAGAGGGCGTGAAAGGAGTCGAGACTGAGTTGCGTCAAAATAAGTATACGGAAGTCACTCTTACCACCGATCGCTGAGCATGTGCTAATGGGTGATGGTCCCGTCCCAATCGCTTGCTTGGTTCTCCAGACATTAAGTCGAATCTGCACACGTGTTGACCTCTTTTCGAAGAGCGTTTAACCAGTTTCGTTCTCTGAATGGCATGTGCCCGTACGGCAGATAGCACACATGTGCTGTGTCCATGGGGTTGATAGTTGTCGGCAGTGACGGCAGGAAGTGCTTGTAGAGCCTCTGCGGGACCTTACCTGTGTCCGTGGGATCCGGGGTTGTCGGCAGTGACGGCAGGAAGTGCTGATAGAGCCTCTGCGGGACCTTACCTGTGTCTGTAGGATCGGGAGTGGTCGGCAGTGAAGGCAGGAAGTGCTGATGGAGCCTCTGCGGGACCTTACCTGTGTCTGCAGGATCGGGAGTTGTTGGCAGTGAAGGCAAAAAGTGCTGGTAGAGCCTCTGCGGGACCTTACCCGTGTCCGTGGGATCGGGAGTTGTTGGCAGTGACGGCAGGAAGTGCTGGTAGAGCCTTTGCGGGACCTTACCTGTGTCCGTGGGACCCGGGGTTGTCGGCAGTGATGGCAGGAAGTGCTGGTAGAGCCTCTGCTCGTGCTCCATCAGCTGGCGTCGCGACTCCACCTCCCAGAGTGCCCGCTCAAGGTCCACCACCAGCTGTAGAGAGACAGCACAACGTGTCAGCGCAGAGAACGGCATGACGGACCTCACACCTCTGACAGCCAGGCCAGCTAAGATCTCAAACACTGCAAAAACTTACACAGCGTGCTAACTGCCAGAGATTGCGTATTTTTGTTCTGCTGTGAACACGGGATATTTTCCATTATTCGAGCATTGAAATAACGCATCAGCAAGTCCTTTTTCAATGTTATATAAGCAAAAAACATCATTTTCACCGCCGCTCGTTAGTTTGAATTGGTTGGCGGAGCGGGACTAAGAACGACCATCGGACTTTGAAGTTGGTCCTGTTTCTGACAAACTGATAACTACAGCCGTCGACGTGCTGCAAAGTGCGCTAATATGATGTTGATTTACCGAGCTGCGCTGCCAAGTTTGTCGAGCGGCCGAGACGGAGTCAAGTGGCGAAGTTGGGGATGGCGGCACTCAGTCGGTTGGGGAATGGTTGGCAGCAGTGGACAGACCAGGCCGAGTACCGTGCGGGGACTGGTGCAGGGCCAAGCCAGTTATCATATCACTCAGTTACTGGGAGATCTTGATTTCGTCTAACCTGCTATTTTCGGTGTCAGTTTCCTTCTCAGTTTCAACGCCAAAATTTTCAGTTGTCTGTTGCAAGTCTTCTTTCTCTCATCTCTCATTTGTCTGTCTATCTGTCTCTCTGGTCTCTCTCTCTCTCTCTCTCTCTCTCTCTCTCTCTCTCTCTCTCTCTCTCTCTCTCTCTCTCTCTCTCTCTCTCTCTCTCTCTCTCTCTCTCTCTCTCTCTCTCTCTCTCTCTCTCTCTCTCTCTCTCTCTCTCTCTCTCTCTCTCTCTCTCTCTCTCTCTCTCTCTCTCTCTCTCTCTCTCTCTCTCTCTCTCTCTCTCTCTCTCTCTCTCTCTCTCTCTCTCTCTCTCTCTCTCTCTCTCTCTCTCTCTCTCTCTCTCTCTCTCTCTCTCTCTCTCTCTCTCTCTCTCTTTCTTTCTCCCTCTCTCCCCCTCCTCCTTCCCTCTCCCTCTCCCTCCCTCCCTCCCTCTCTCCCGTCCCCTCCTCCCTCCTCTTACCTCAGACCTCGCCACGTCGGCCTGTAGCCGGCGGCACAGCCGCTCAGAGGCCCATTTGAGACCGTGCAGTCGCCGCACAGTGTCTGCTGCCCGCCTCAGACGGTTGGATAGGTCTCGGTTGGAGCGGCGCAGTCGGTCACAATCGCCAGACACACTCTGTGACGGACAGACACGCCGGGGGTGTCAGGTTGGATTATTGACAGACGGGCGGGTATCAAGAGTGGCTCCTTCACAGACACAGACACGGGGGTGTCAGATTTGCTTTTGCTCGGAAGACACAAAGCGACGCTTATCTGTAATGTCTCTCCAAAGTCGAACCAATAAACTTAGCCTATCATCGCTTCGCCTTTCCACAGAGTTTTACATCATTGACGGACCCACAATCCCCCTCAATCGATCCATAAATTCTCATTATGGAGTCAAGGTTACCTCACCTGTGCATTAGCTCTCATCCTCTCCAGTTCTCGGTCCCGGAGCTGCAGCAGCTGGTTGGCCTCATCCAGGTCCAGTTTCCTCCTGGTCAGGTCCTGCTCGACCGCTTCCAGTCGCTCAGAGACCGCCTGAAACGGTCACAGACGAGAGGTCATCACGAGTGACCGACGGACGGAGATGGAGGTCGAACTCGGGGCCCGCCCCTGCAGGTTTACGCCAGGGAAAATGGAGCCATGGTCGATGGAGTTCAACTGACTGTATTGACTGGAAGAGTCCGCCTGAAACAGCTGCTGATTCTGGGCTTTGGCGTGGTATAGTTCGACCGGAATCTCACTAGGCCGGAGTCTCGCACCCATAAAAACAGACCGGCGCGTCAGATCATTTGTCCGGCAATCAAAAGAAATAAGCGTGGAATGACAGTGAGGGTACAAATGTCCACCAACTATCTTCATTGCCAAGGTTTCGACGGACAACCGATCAGCTGAGGTAAGCGACGCATCGACTTATGTCGGTTCCACACAATTGGATGTATGTGGTTTCATTTTTCCTAGCTCATCGCCACAATATCGTCTATTAAAAATGCAAGAACACAATGTAACTCTGATACAAAAAAAAAACTAAGAAACTAAGAAGTCAACTAATCAAGACTCAAGAGTCTCATTTCGAATAAGCCCACCCCAGTAGAATGCGGCAGTCCACTGATGACCCCCTGACCAGGAGCCACTTCTGTGCCAATATCAGGCAGTTCGGCGGTCCTCGTGCTCGGATGACCGGCTGGCGACGGCCCTCAGTAGCGGAACTATCGAGCGATCGAGACCCGCTAACGAACGGCGTCCGCTCCACCTCTTCCGTGTCGCTAGGTCAGGGAGTTTACGGAGGTATTTTACCGTATCGCGTTCATCGTGAAATGAGTTATCGACGCAATTCCGGTCCCGCAATACCGAACATAATTGCTTGATGAGAAATAGAACAGTGGAAATCGAGGCAAACCGTTAATCTCATCCACAGTGAATCTCAAATATTAGTTACACAAGCACACACATGAAGATGTAGGGAGGAAACTTTAAATCTGGCAGTTGGGCATTTCGTAAACGTCCACAGAATGATAGTTCACCATTTTCAAGCAGTACCTATTACCGTGCGATTTCTATTGTCCGAAACACTATTTATCTTTTCCATAACGTTGACCGTGTGAAAAGCAAGCTACAACTGTGGGTCAGCGCTGTTCAACGTGTTCATGTTTCCTGAATAGACTGGCATCAGTGAACGGATCGAACGCCTACCAGATGGAACGGCACGCATTTACTCATTGATGATACAGGGGCGATTCAAATAGAACCGAAATGTCGGATTAGTGATCTGGCTCGTCAACGCTCACCAGCCGCATCAGCAGCCGCATCTTAACATTATATGATGGTGATAATTAGGGTTGAAAGGAGCCGCAGAAATGTAGTCTGACGCTGACCTAATCGTGTTATTTCTGCGAGAAATGCTTGCTTTTAGTCATCAAAGCGGCATCACAGCCGTTGATCGCCAGTTGCTTACGGAGCGACTAGCTGATAAAAATATTTAGCTTTGATGAAAATGATTCATTTTCACGGCAATTTTCACACAGCCACTGACACCAAGCTTCCAAATTGTCGCTTCTAGTTAACGTGCTACTACAACGCAAAAACAAAAATATTAACCCAGCAGGCAGCAGCTGCGAATAAATCCAGCCGCGGCAGTAGCCACCAAGGTTGGATTGGGACGAGCATAGATCAGGGCCACCGATCACAGCTGGCACGTTTACATAGCAATAGCAGCATCGTCTGGTCCTGACCGGACTGTCGGATTAGGACCATCGGGAGAATCGAACTGTCGGACTGTCGGGCTGTCGGATATAACTGTCCAGCTGTCGACATACACCTGACCTATCGGATAGAAAGATTTTCTGGTCGGGGACTGCTGGGCTGCCTGGATAAAATCGTACTGTCGGATTACGGTTGTTGGGTTAGAGATTGTCGGGTGAGGTCCGGACTGTCGGGTTAGAGCCGTGCTGTCTGGTCCGACTGGAGGGTTAGACTGACGGGTTGGACCGCCCTTTCCGTGCAGTATCCTGCCGGACTGTCCGGGTTAGAGCTGTGCTGTCCGGTCTGACTGTCCGGTTAGAGTCGCCCTGTCCCGTCACACCGCCGGGTTGGACCGTCCGTTCCGTGCGGCAGCCTGCCGGAGCGGCGCCGTACTCCAGCCAATCTACTAATGCAGAGTAATACGTCAGCCGCCGGCCGGCCCCTCGGTCATACCCACAGAGCCCGGCCCGGGCAGCCCGCACTGCCGCGCCGGCCGTCAGCTCAACTCAGCACCCGACCGTGGCGTATGCATAGCCAATGACGCCAGAGCGCCCCCACATCGCCGTGAGGTGAAATTCAGCACACGCTGTCGAAATGAAACGTGAAGGAGACCCCAATGGTATGAAGACAATCAATGTTAATTGTAGATATCATTCAGCCGGATCGCTTTACCGACTATTACATTCACAAATGGCCATATGGTCTATTTAGGTTATTATACTCCCACTGGCGCTGCCGAGGTAAAGAGTATGCCCTAGTATAACACCATTTTAGCCGAGTTCATTTCAAGCAATGAATGGGCCAATAAGGGCAGTTGTATGTTCATGTTATGGCGATGTAAAACATCGCGCAAATAGCTTAGTAGCTGAGCATTTCAGACCAGTTTGCCTCAAGACGAGGGAAAATGATAAACTGCTGTTCCGCCCATAACGACATAGAAAAATGATGATGGTTTGGGTTGAGGAGTGTCGTAGTAGCAAAGGCATGTATCATATGGCATAAGCACACGCGCAGATCACGTTATGATCCGCCCAAATAGATGACAGCGATATAAATACGACCACGCCTGGAATTTAGTTGGGGTATTTATATAAGGAGTTATTAATCGCCACTCCTAGTATGGATGGATTGAAACTTGCGATAGTTCATGGATAGCCAAGCATGCTATACACGGAGTAGACTAAATAAAGCATGGCTGGGAATAAAGAAAAAATGTATCCTACGAAACATGTAGATTCGATTCTTCGGGTCGAGAGGCAAGGCCAATCAAGAAAAAGATCGGTCTCAACTCACCCATGTTCTCAACCCACCGAGCATCCACCAACACCAATACTGACCACCGCACCCATCGACACGCTCTTCGCCATACTCTGAACATAACTCCTCCCAGGAAATACCCACTACCCAGGTATGCGTCCCTGAGCGTTCCCTACCGTCCAGTGCCCAGCCCGGTGCGTCGCTCTTGACCCTCACCTCCCCACGTCCGACAAGCATGTCAGTTAATCGACTCAGCGCCCGGACACGGCTGTCCCGCCGGGTCGGGTCATGAATAACTCTCGAACACGTATCCCTGAGGTCGATACGCCACGCAGGTGGACATCTTTACAGCGGTGTACCACACCCTACGTCAGTCCAGCCGTACCGCGCACCCGGCGTCGGGCTTCGGGTCTTAGGTGGGTTAGACGTTAGAGGTAATCTCAGTAAGAGAAAGACGCATTACGTGCAGTGGGGAGACAGAAAATCAGCGTCAGGTGAAGTAAGAGACCAAGCAAAGGAAACCTAAAACTTTCAATATTACAGCCATAACGTCGATATTTCTTTTTATAAAATCCAATCCCGTAACGGGTGGCCCAATCACAGCTCGCGTCCAAAGGGCCGAGAAATGATGAGTCTCGCGGGGCGGCAGCGGCTCTCCGTTCACAAAAACGGCCACCGGCAAAGCCCTCGGTAAACAAGCTGATAAATCAATCCCAGGTGTGCCCAAATGACACCAGGTCGATACCCGCGGGGCGACGGTCACTTCGAAAAGAAAACGCACGCCGGTCGAGTATAAATAGGTTCCATTTTCTCGACCGGGTCGGTCGATTTGAGAAACACCGTCGGAAGCTGGGCCCAGCACTATAGATCAGAGACCTGTGTAGCGTCTTCCAGAGATCATAAAGAGCTATGGGTTCACAGGATAGTGGGCGAATTGAATCAGCAGTCAAAAGTCAGACGATTTAAACACGCACGACAAACGACACGCATCAATGACAGTCCGCTCCCGCAAACCGCGGGGGAGCGAACGATGGTGGATACAGGACCGAGAGAATCACCACATCTGCCCCATCATTGCCTATCATACCAAACCCATCATTCATTTTGTCATTTCGTTTCCACAAGTTTATACTGGGTTAACGCAGGGATGGATAACAATGGTGTGGTTCGCACATTTTGTAACCATGGCGAACATCTAACAGAAATCACGAATGTCCTTATTATGCAGTTCCAGGGATATTGTGTTCCTTGATGCGTTCACGATTTCGAATTTCTGCTAAGAAATCAGCCTGGCGGCGCTAGGAAGTCAATCTAACTCCCTTCAACAGTGTTCAAGTTTTCCTGTTTGTTTAGTATACATTTACATCACAAGTAGATTGCTGAATAGTCAACGCTCTGAGCAGTGCATGTTTAAGAAAACTTATAGTTGGAAGACAATATAACTCAGATAGTTTGGAGCAGTTCATAAACAAAATGCAAATGCCACTGACCATGGTATCCAGTAACAGATTCCCAAACGTATGAAGATATCCAGATCAGAAACGTTCGAGCACAAATGCAAGGTTATTCTCGAAATTAGAGCACGATTGAAGCAAGAAATATTGGAAAGTGAAGAACCTCCAGACCCGCCCGCTCCGTCCCTGCGCCCTTACCTGCAGTGTGGCTGTCGGCTGTGACGCCGTCTCCTCCCCGCACGACTCGCCTTCCTTGCCCTCCTCCTTGGCAGAGACGCGCGCCCTCAGGGAGTCTCCACACTCGCGGAGGAGCGGGGTCAGGTCCGGTGCGGCTGGCGCCGGACCGCCCTCCACTACCGCTCGCTGCAATACACAAAGAAACGCAAACGCACATAGTGAGCGAGTATACGTCAAAGTTCAAACTGGTCACTGGTAAACAGAGCAACAATGTCACCAACTCTAGCTCGTTAGAGTCAGTCAGGATGTCAGCTAGATTATATTAGAATTAGAGAAACCAGATAAAGAACGCGTGGAATATGAAGACAACGGTCGAAAATATTTAATCCACTTCATTAATGAGCGTCCTAGTGAAAAATTGCAGCCGTGATGTTATAAAATCAGCTCCTTGGACCTCATCGGTTACAGCATATCAAGTAGTATAATTAACGAGCTCTTACAAGGCGTCGGTAATATCTGTTGCAACAGGAGGTGTCTCCAGTTAGTAGTAACGCTAATGGTAACGGTCAAATGATACCCATTGTAATGGACCGGTCACCAAAGTTGGGACTGGGGCGAACCACCCTCCGCCTTCAAACTAAGCTGAACTTCACCAATAAATTATCAAGTAGGAACGAACTACGAGTACGGATGAGAAGATCAAGGCGGGCCAGACTGGACACCTTGCAATATATATAAGCAAGACCGACGTTCATCAAAGGCTTACACGTTACACGCCGCCAGTTACTGTCAGCGAGCACTGTTGGGGAGTGCTGAGAGGTGTTCAGACTGTCCCTTTACTTCTGCCACCTACCGCTGCCGACATCAAGGTGACGCCAGCATCTCATCGGGTAACCAAGACTATTTTGTTTGTTTTGTTGGGTTAGGCCCTTTCGGTCGACAAGACCATTGCAGAGCCGGAAGGATAATAGGAATTAGGGGGAGACATTGGTCTGGGCAGGCACCCTAGTGAGTCGCCGGGGCTGAGCCCGTCCGAAGACAGGCCACCCAGCCCCAAGGCACTCACTGCACCCGGCTACGGGTTGCGCTCCCTCGGGAGCAGCGGTGCCGCTCCAAGGGAGCAGCCCGCATGAGATAAAGTTGCCTGTCCAGCCCGGAGGGGGGTTGCGGCGTGGAGGAGAAGGATTTCAGTTTCCTGGGGATAGAAGCACGGATAGGTGGACCAAGACTATTTGCTAAGGGCAGTGTTATTGTTCGCTCCTTTCCCTCATCCCATCTCCATCCACCCCGATGATTTTGATTGGTCAATAATTTCCGAATCATAGGGCTAACATCAGACGGAAGTCATAAACCCAAAATGAATGGTCCTTTTCCTTACCTGCAGTCTATCGATGGTCTCCTGTTGTCGCTGCACGCAGTCCACCAGAAGCACCTGTCGCCGGTCGGCCTCCGCCAGCGCCATCTCTGCGCGCTGGTGGCGCCCTCTCAGACGATCACCAACCGCCAGGAGGCGCTGGCCGCGGCCCTTCTCCAGTAGCAGAGCCCGCCGTAGGGTCCCGTTTTCTCGAACCAGACGCTCAAGGAGCTCCAGATCGGAGAGCAGTGTCTCCTCTGTAAAACCGTCTCCGTCTCCGTCTCCAGAGAGCGTCTCAGCAGGCACGTCACCGCCTTCCAACGCTTTTCCATCACCAGAGGGTCCAGTTCTGTGTCTGTCTTTATCACTACTCCGCAATGTAGCATCATCACGTCTATCACCATCAGCCCGGTCCCGGTCTTCAGATGATTTCATTGGTCGTGTAGCACCCTTCCCAGAGGTTTTCTCTCCAGTGTTGGCGCCGGAAGCAGCCCCGACGAACGGGTCGTCATCAGAGAGTGACGCATCTCCTAGCAGTCTGAGATCAAACGGCGGTACCTCGGGTGTCTGGGGCCGGGGGACTGGCTCGGGCACCAGCTGCGGGCCGCTGGTAGCTGGTTTCGGGTCGCTAATCTCAGCCGGTGCTGGCACGCTGACATCCGTGCTGGGCTGGTCGTCAGCGGAGAGCTGCATTAGTTGGACGTCCGTGAGCCCCGCTTCTCTCAGCCACGCTTCACTATCATCCGCCTGGGTTAGACAGGGTTCACTAGCAGGGGCGTCTCTCAAACGAGGACTGGCCGAAGGAGAGGTCCCCTGTCCACCAGATGCCGCCGCCTTCCTCTCTCCACTGGAGGAGGGACTTCCTGACAACGAGCCACTCCGCGCCGATCGGAGCGACCCCGCTGGACTCAGTCCTCCCTCTGCCACGCCGCTGAATCGTCCCTCCTCCGCAATCCGCGCGAACAGTCTCTGAAATCCGGTCACTACCCGACGGTGGACTCGCAGCTGTTCGTGCAGAGCAGAATTGATGCTAGTACAGGCAGCCAGCTTGCTCTTCAGCAGCCTCACCTCATAGGAGGCATCAATCAAGACGATAGCCGCTGACGTATCAGCACCCTGCTCCATCACCGACTTCAGACCCTTCTGTAGCTCGGCGAGCTCGGAGGAAACCCGCGTCTCGAGCTGTAGAAGCTCATCCTGCTGTCTTTCTGACGCTGCGAGAGCAGCACGGACGGCCTCGGCAGCCTCCAGAGCACAGTCTACTGAGGAGGGACCGGCTGATCGTCCAGTGCCCGGGACGGGACTGTGGGCGTCCTCGGTCCGGTCGGTTAGAGGCACGCCCAGGCTGACGGACGGAGAGGCGGTGAGGACGGAGCGGGCGGTATGTACGGGACTCTCATCAGGGGAGCGCTGTTGGTTAGGTGAGCCGTCGCCAGCCGCCGGTAGTCCCGCCGGCTGTTCTTGTTCGTTTTGACGGTCAGAGAGAGAAGGGTGGACACCACGCCGGTGCAGCCGCCGCTCCAGTAGTTGTTTGTCTCTCTGCGCCGCCGCCATTCGCGCGTACAACCGACGCAGTAGCCGAGTGACTGCACTGGAGTCGGGGAGTTCCACTACTGGCGTACCACCGTCAGCTCTCTCCTCTTCAACACACTCTGCCTTTGAAACCTTCCCCGCCGTCGCCGGCGCCTCCACAATATCCCCACTGGCAGTATCCGTTCGCGAACTTCCCACAAGCACCAGACTCTCCAGCCTAGAGAGCTGGCGATCGCTGAGCTCTGCCGAGCCTGAGCCAGCGGTAAGACCCGAGTCGGCCGCGCTAGGCGGAGTATGGGGCGAGGTGAGACTCGCCCTCCCGGCAGACGCCTCAGACGCCGGCGCACCGTACTGCAATACCCTCCGAGCGGAGTCCACCGCACGCAGCTCGCCACCAGACACAGTCACAGCCAAAGCCTCCCTCCTCGGAGAGCGAAAACCATCAAACTCCCTCATCAATACGCTCAGGTTTTCCACTTCGGTCTTTTCCCCAGCCGTCGCGCTTATCTTTGGAGATCGCATACATTCTCTCTTGGGAGTTAAGCTTCCCCTCCTAGGCGTTAGACTTCCTTCCCCGTACGGCGACATCACGCCCCTCGACTCTTTTCTCGGAGATGTTACACTCTGCACCAGAAGACACGCGCGCAGTTTTTCGGCCTCCGCCTGCGCCGCGAGCAGCTGGCCGGCCGTCTCTGCTATGTACTTCTGGTGCGTCTGCTGCAGCATTGTCCTCTCCTGCTCGAGGTCCGACACTCGTCTCTCAGTCTCTTCCAGCCTCCGTGTCAGCGTCTCCACCCGCGCCCTCAGCTTGATGGCAGTGTTGCTGGCGTCCTTCGCCACGGCTCGGTCGTCGCGCAGTGCTGCTTGACTGGCGGCAAGCTCAGCCAGCTCTGCGCGGGCGGCAGTCAGTTCGGATTCGGTCTGTTGCCGCGCTGCCTCGGCGGCAGAGAGCTTGGAGCGCAGCACGGATAGAGCAGTCTCCCCGTCAGCTCTGACACGAGATAGTTCCTCGGAGTCTCGCTGCCGGCTCAGTTCGACCTCTGCGAGTTTCTTTCGGAGTTGCGACACCGTTGAATCACTCTCAGCGATACGGCCTCTCAGCTCCGCATCGCCGGCGGTCCAGCGCTCTCGTTCAGACGCCAACTCCGCTCGCAGTCCGTCCCTCTCCTCTCCCGCTCTCTCTAGCTCTGCCTGCAGCCCATCCCTCTCCTGTACCACTCTCTCCAGCTCCGCCTCCAGCCGTTCCTGCTCGGCTTTACTAGCCTCCAGAGCCTGCTGTAGTCGCGCGACAGCTGCCGTGTGTCGTTCCAACTCAGAGCTCCACTGTTCTACCACACCGCTCACTTCGCTAGTATGTTGTCCGGCTGTCGCCAGCTGCTGAGTCAGCGAGTCACGCTGCTGAGTAAGCGAGTCGCGCTGCTGAGTCAGCGAGTCGCGCTGCTGAGTCACCGCCAGCAGCTGCTCAGTCAGGGAGGTTTCCTGCTGCAGATGAGCGCTCAGCTGCTGCTGGAGGTCACTGTTCTGCTGGTTCGCTTCGTCTCTCTCCTGGGAGATCTTATCCAACGCCTGCTTGGCAGAGTTTAGCTGTTGTTCCGTTTCCTGGAGGTCCTGCGCCAACTTATCGGCCCGTTTGGAGGTGTTTTGTAGCTCTTGCATCAAACTATCACGCCCGTCGCTCACCACTTGTAAGTCTTTTTCAAATTTCTGTCTCTCTTCTGTCCAAGTCTGAAGCTGTCTTTCAAACTCAGCACGCTGCTCGGTAGCTTCAGACAGCAGCTGGTTTAGGCTTTCGACCTGCTGGCGAGCTTCATCCCGCTCCCGCGAAAGGTTGCCGTTGTGTTCTGTCACATTCGCTAAATCCGTCTGCAAGACATCTCGCAGCTCAGTGATTCTAGTAATCTCCAACCGCATGTTGTCTCTGTTATCAGTAACTGTGACTAGTTCCTTCTTTAAAACGTCAATCTGTTCATTCGCCTTCTGAGTTTCACGTTCCGCCAGCTCTCGCTCGGCGACAGCCTGCTGAAGCTTCTGTTGTAGCTCTGCCACCTCTGCCGTCACCCTCTGCAGCACGTCCTGAATGTCCGGCTGCCGGCTCGCCACGGCCAGCTGTTCCACCAGCTGCGCCTGCTGCTGGCCCAGCGCCGCCAGCTGCACGCTCAGCTGGTCCCGCTGATCGGTGACTGAGCTCAGCTGCTGGTGAGCGGCGTCACGGGCAGAGACGGCCTCCTCCAGCTGACGGATGGTCGCGCTGTGCTGCTCAGTCAGGGCGTGCAGTTGTTCCTCGGCATCAGACCGCTGCTTGTTGGCTGAGGCGAGATGGTTGCTGAGCTCCTCTTGCTTCTGACTGGACGAGGCCAGCTGATTCCTTAGTTCTTCTAGCTGTTGGTTGACTGAAGGTACTTGTTTACTGAGTTCCTCTCGCTGTTGACTAGTTACAGCCAGTTGCTGGTCGAGTTCCTCGCGCTGTTTATTGGCAGAGGTCACCTGTTGGCTGAGTTCGTCTCGCTGTTGACTGACTGAAGCTAACTGTTGGCTGAGCTTCTCTCGTTGTCTATTGACTGAAGCTAACTGTTGGCTGAGCTCCTCTCGTTGTCTATTGACTGAAGTGAGCTGTTGGCTGAGCTCCTCCCGCTGCTGGTTGGTGGCCGCCAGTGCACGACAGAGCTGATCTCGCTGCTGGTTAGCCTCCGCCAGCTGCGCGCCCGTGTCCGCCTGCAGCTGGTTCACCAGCTGCAGCTGCTGTCTCAGCGTCTCCCGCTCCTCGGCCGCTGCCTGCAGCTGCTGGCTCAGAGAGCTCCTCTCGTCAATAGAGGCTCTCAGCTGGTCGGAGAGCTCATCCCTTTCATCAGTGACTGTCTTCAGTCTCTCCGAGAGCGCCGTCTTCTCCTCGGCCGTCCTCTGATCGATCTGACCTCGCTCCTCGCCAACACTGTCCAGCCGCTGCTGTAGGACAAGCTTCTCCTCAGTCACCGCCTTCAGCTGATCCGTCAGCGCGTCCCTCGCCGCGGCGGCCACGCTCGCCTGCTGGGCCAGCGCTGCGCTCTCGGCCTCCAGGCGGACCAGCCGCTGTTCCGCCGCCTGACGCTGCTCGGTAGCCGTCGCTAGCTGAACCCGCAGACTCTTCACGAGGAGACGGTTCTGCTCCCGACAGCGCCGCAGCTCAGTCAGCTCGGCGGCGGCTCCGGCGGGCGGTGGGGTGGGAGGTTTGGAGCTCAGCTGTCCTAGCCGCGCCTCGTGCTCGGCGCGGAGGTCAGACAGCTCTGTCTGATGGCGCTCCCTCAGCGCAGCCAGTTCCGCAGCGTGAGAGGACCTGGAGATCAGGGAGTCGGTTAGGCGGAGTCCTCACTGGTCAGCCTGCACCTAATGACAAATTAGCACGGACGGACAGACGTCATGTGACTCTAGTTTGAACATAAACAATCAAAAATGATCCGCCCGAGAACTTAATAACGAATGAGATCGGATCGCTTATAGCCCTACAGGACAGACATGGCGTGTGTTGACATCAGATTTCCCCCACAAGTCGATCTATCCCGTGGGCATCATACAAAGCGCCACAGAAAAGCATTACCAGCTTATCTCTTACTCTCGCACCATCACACTGAATTTCTCACCTGAGTTCGCCGGTGATTTGCGACAGCTGCTGCCCGAACCGCTCCTCTAGCTGCGCCGTCAGCTGCTCAGCAGCTGCCGTCTGAGCGCTCGACTGCAGCCGGTCGGCAGCGGCTGACCGCTCGCGCAGCTGCTGCTCCAGCTGGCCGATCTGCCGTCAGAGAGACCAGGTCAGACAAAATACGCGTAAAAAGTCGCCGGTAGGTAACGGAGTCGAGTCTCGCTTTAATAAAAAGCTCAAAAGAGTTGACAATAACCTTGCACCTAGCAGTCAGTCAACACCGAATTTCTCTGAACCGGAGAACGGAATCTCACATTTTCACGGAACATAACCACATCAGCTAATCAAGCAGCACTTTATTTTACCAGTAAAACGCCTTTTGGGCGAAGAACGAGCGAGCGAGATAGTGAGCCCTGCACGTGCGGAAGGGCGAGAGGGTACTTCCAACGGGCTTGTGCAAAGCACCCTTCTAACCGGTCGCTAGCGGTGTGCCAAATTTGAAGGCAATCGGCCCAGCCGTTCCTGAGATCTGGAAGCGGCATTCTGCACGTGCGCACGTGCAAACGAGGTCCAAAATGACTTTTGCACGGCACCCTACTGTGACGAATGTGTCCTGTGCATGTTGTGACTGTGTGTTATCCTTCCCCGGCAGACCTGTATCTGGGCCGAATACATGCTTTGAACTGAACATCACACTGGTGGCAGCTGATTGATTCGGCCCAGATGAACCCACGCTTGATGGCCATGCATGATCTGGTTGCATGAAGTGAGCTTTGCATGCTGCATGTCCTGGGAGCTCGGACTGTGTGTACTATCTGAAGCCAAGAAGTATGGTGGAGACTAAGCCTGAGCTACTTGGGGCTGTTGGTGGTCATGCCAAAATTGATAAGTTTGATGGCCAGGGAAATGTTGAACGTTTCCTGGATCATTTTGATGTAGTGTCCAGGGCAAATGGTTGGAGCCCAGAAACTCAGGCTCTGCAGCTTCCTACTGCACTTTGTGGACCAGCTTTTGATTTTTTCCGCCGTCTACCCATTGAGGAGAAAACCACTGTAAGAGCACTGCAGGATGCCCTGCGAAAGGAATACTCTGCAACTGCCTTGGAGTCGGACTATGCTCTTCTGTTTGTATCTCGGAGGCGGTTGGCAGGGGAGCCCCTCCCAGAGTTTGGTGATGCTCTGAAGACGCTGGCGCGGAAGGCGTATCCATCTTTTACTGAGATTCAGCTCGAAAGTCTGTGCAAAACCCACTTCATCAATGGAGGGTTGGCTGACACTCTGCGAGCCCAGCTTCTCCTTGGTGGTGACCAATCAGAATCATACAGAGACCTCATCTCGAGGGCAAGACGGCTTGAGCAGGTGTTTGCCCCAGCTGCAGTCCGACGCGTGCCGTTGGAACAGGATGAGCTGAGGGGTGAAATCCAAAGACTGGCAGGTGTTGTATCAGCACTGGAGCAGAAAGTTGATGCGCTGTCAATACCCAAGAGCAGATTTGGACAGAGAAGGCGGTTTGATCAGACGCAGCAAGTCACAGCTAAACCCTCAGAGCCTGGGGCTCAGAAGGAGAAGAGGAAGCCTGTTATCTGTTTTCGCTGCAAGCAGCCAGGACATATGGCCAGAGGCTGTGCAAATTTCGAGTAGCCGCGATTCGGCAGGGGCGCGTGGTCGCGGCGTCTGATGTACCCGTGAGGGGTGTGGCCCCGAGACAGTTAAACTGGGGAGTGGCGCGGCAGGACTGGTGGCCCATGGGGGCGCCGGCGCCGCACTGTTTCCGGTGGCCCAGTGGGCAGGTGGCGCCACCTTCAGCGTCGCAGCTGGGCTTGGCGGCGCCCTTTTCGGCGCCGTGGTCGGCCGGCGCGCCGCAGCTGGGCTTGGCGGCGCCCTTTCCGGCGCCGTGCTCGGACGGCGCGCTGCAGCCGGGCCAGGCGGAGCCCTCTTCAGCGTCGGGGGAGGTACCGTGTTCGGAGTCGAGTGTGACTGGGGTTTCTGCGGCGCGGCGCACGCCTCCCGGTGGAGGCCTTCCATTGGAGGCCGGGTGTCGTGCCGCGCCGGAGTCGGGCGCGCAGGGTGAGTCGATTTCGCCGGCTGTTGAGCCTGTGTGTGTTGACACTGACGATTCGGCCGGCTGTGTGTCCTCCCGGCCGGGCTCTGTGGATGTGGCAAGGTTCGCTGAATGTTTAGAGGCGGATGCTGTGATGAGTCCGTCAGCCGTCGAGCCCGATGCGATAGGCTTGTCTGACGTGGATGAGCGTTCTGGCCTACAGGGGGCCACCGCGGCGGGCGTTCGAGTGCCGAGCGCACCCACTGGTGAGGCACTGACGGCGGAGTCACCACGATCGAGTTGCAGTGGTAAGGACAAACCCGGTCCCGGAGTTCGGGGGGCTGGAGTGTTGCGTGCCACTGTGGCTGGGGGTGTGCTGGCTCGGGCAGGTCGGGTTGTGTGTGGACAGCGCAGTCATGTAGCAGCCGCCCGAGTGGGGGGTTATAATGATGCGGAAGTCTTTGTCTCGGGATACGTTCAGCATAAGAGAGTGGACTGGTTGCTAGATACTGGGGCACAATGTAGTGTTGTTTCGTCAGATGTCATTGGGGATATGGATGTCCAGAGGATCCCCGCTCTGAGGCAGCCCGTCACTGTTGATGGAAACGCATTAGATTTAGAATGCGTAGTTGTGTGTGATGTTAGTATCGGAGATAAGACACTGCGAGATCAGCCCCTGTTTGTGGTGCGTGGCCTGTCTCCCTCTTGCATACTGGGCACTGATTTGCTGAAAAAGATGGGATCGGCTGTTTCTATAGACTTTGCCGCCCACACAGTGAGTGTTCGGGGGTGTACTGTTACCGAGGCAGCAGACTGCGTGCGGTCCTCGGACACCGTTAACATCCCTCCGAAGCACCAAAGTATTGTGATGTGTTCTGTTCCAGATGATGTTTCGGGGGTGGTCGTTGTTGAGTCGAGTAGCCTTCTTTCTGATAAACATTCACTCTTGGCGGCTAGATCTGTGGCGACAGTGTCCAAGGGAGGTATGATACCCGTAAGAGTTTTGAACCCGTCAGGCCGGGGTGTCACTTTGCCCGCTCGCTCTGTGGTGGCCCGTCTGATGGATCACTCAAAGATTGCTGATGGTGACTCTGGGGATGAATGTGAGATTGATGATGCTTGGGTGAACGCTCTGGTCGAGGGTTCTGACCTCAGTGATGATGCACAGAAAACTGCCCTCTCCGATCTTTTGAGTAAGCACAAACAAGCATTCTCGTTAGATGGTGAGCTGGGACAGTGTGGTATCGTGAAACATTCGATCCCGCTCGTAGAGGGAGCCCGCCCCGTTTCTCAGCCTCCGCGAAGGATTAACGTAATTGACAGGGATGATGTTGACGCGGCTATCCTGAAAATGCAGCGAGATGGTATCATTCGTCCCAGCTGCTCGCCGTGGAGCTCCCCGGTGGTGCCAGTTCGGAAACGAGATGGCTCGTTGCGACTCTGCATTGATTACCGTCGTCTTAACGACCTAACGCATGGTGATTCTCACCCCTTACCCAGGGTGGAGGACTGTTTGGATGCTCTTTCCGGGTCATCTTGGTTCAGCGTCTTGGATCTTCAGTCGGGATATTGGCAGCAGGAGGTAAAGGACTCAGATAAGGAAAAGACAGCCTTCTCTACCCACACGGGACTCTGGGAATTTTCGAGGATGCCGTTTGGACTGAAGGGAGCCCCGGCCTCATTCCAGCGTCTCATGATGGCTGTTCTTGCTGGGTTAACCTGGCGGGAGTGCCTGGTTTACCTAGATGATGTGATCGTATTCGGTAAGTCGTTTGATGAAGCTTTGGGTCACCTGGATCACGTTCTGTGTGCCGTAAAGGAGGCCAATCTGAGACTTAACCTGAGGAAATGTAGTTTTTTTAAGGAGGAGGTGAAGTTTTTAGGTCATGTCATTAGCGGTGAGGGCATTTCCGTGGATCCTTCGAAGGTCTCGGCGGTTGTCGACTACGAACGTCCTAAAAACGTCCATGATGTGCGTAGATTCATTGGTTTAGCTAGTTATTTCAGAAAGTTCATACCAAACTTTTCTACAGTGGCTAAGCCATTGCTTAAGCTGACCGAGGATCGTGCGAAATTTCTTTGGGATGACATGTGCGAGTCCGCCTTTCAAAGTTTGAAGCGTCTGCTGACGGAGGCGCCAGTTCTGGCTTTCCCCGATTTCGAGAAAGAGTTTATTCTCACTACCGATGCCAGCGGCATCGGTCTGGGTGCAATACTTACCCAGCGGGTTGACGGTTCTGAAAAAGTGGTGGCGTTTGCGAGCCGCTGTCTGTCCAAAATCGAGGCCCGATACAGCGCCACCGAGCGGGAGTGCTTGGCAGTGGTCTGGGCGGTTCGCCACTTTGCTGTATACCTGCAGGGTAGACCATTCGCACTCCAGACAGATCACTGCCCGTTGACGTACTTGCGTTCGTGCAAGGACCCGAGGGGACGGCTGGCTCGGTGGATCCTTGAGCTGGAACAATTTCCGTACATAATGCAGTACCGTCCAGGACGGTCCATCCCACATGCTGATGCGCTGTCAAGGGCGGTGTCGGGAGGTGTGGTTGGTCACATTGATCTCAAGTCTGATGAACACCGTATCCTTCTGGCCCAGCGCAGCGATCCAGATATATTGCTGGTTGTCGTCAGTCTTTTGCATGGTTTGCCAAATGTATCTAGTCAGTCGTCTGTCGTACGACACTATTTGTCAGTGAAAGAGGCTTTGGAAGTGGACAGCTCTTCGGGGTTGTTATACATTCACGCGGACAACCACAGGCGTCTTGTCGTTCCAGCTTCCATGGTCGATGAGATACTCTCAGAGTCCCACGACAGTCGCTGGGCGGGTCATTTGGGAATTTCAAAGACTACTGAGAAGCTGAAGTGCCGTTTCTATTGGCCCCGAATGACCATTGACGTAGCCAACTTCGTCAAATCTTGCTCTCCATGTTCCAAGAAGAAAAGCCCTTGCCATCCCCTCAGGGCGGAGTTCGGGAAGATGCCTCTTCCAGCCCGACCTTGGGAATGGGTCTCCACAGACATTACGGGACCCTTTCCGTTGACAGACTCTGGTAACCGATACATCCTGGTAGTAGTCTGCGGATTTTCGAAGTGGGTCGAGGCATTTCCCA